CTCCCCACTCCATCCAGGTCTAGGAAGGTGAGCATCCAAACAGACTAGGCTCCTACAAAGCCAGTCCATGCAGTAGAATCAAAACCCAGTGTCATTGTCCTTGGCTTCTCAGTCAGCCCTCATTGTCAGCCACATTCAGAGAGTCTGGTTTGATCACATGCTCCATCAGTCCCAGTCCAGCTGGCCTTGGTGAGCTCCCATTAGATCAGTCCAACTGACTCAGTGGGTGGATGAACCCCTCGCGGTCCTGACTTCCTTGCTCTGTTCTCCCTCCTTCTGATCCTCATTTGGACCTTGGGAGCTCAGTCCAGTGCTCCAATATGGGTCTCTGTCTCTATCTCCATCCATCGTCTGATGAAGGTTCTATGGTGATATGCAAGATATTCATCGCTGTGGCTATGGGATAAGGCCAGTTCAGGCACCCTCTCCTCTGCTGCCCAAGGAACAAGCTGGGGACCCCTCTAGAGTCAAGTCTCTTGCCAACCCTAAAATGGCTCCCATAATTAAGATATCTACTTCCCTGCTCCCATATCCACCTTTCCTCCATCCCAACCATCCCATTCCCCTAAGCTCTGCCCAATCCTCCCTTTCTCCCTTCTCTCTCCCCATCTCCCCTTCTCCCCACCCCACCCCCACGCCTATGCTCCCAACTTTTGCCTGACAATCTTGCCTACTTCCAATATCCAGGAGGATAACTATATGTATATGTTTTTCTTTGGGTTCACCTTCTTATTTAGCTTCTCTAGGATCACAAATTACAGGTTCAATGTCCTTTATTTATGGCTAGAATCCACTTATGAGTGAGTACATACCATAGTCATCTTTTTGGCTCTGGGTTATCTCACTAAGTAAAGTGTTTTTTATTTAATTTGGGTGGCTTTTTAAGAGAATTGTTCAGTGAAGTTTCACCCCTACTTATCCTTTTTTGTATTTGTTAAATGAGATCATTGGATGAGTCCATAGATGACAAGGGTTCAAGCTGTTCTTAATATACCAGGTTACAAGGGGTTAAGACATAACTTTTGAATGTCAACAAAGAAACCTTACTATCTCTTTGAGTTTTAGGTTTACAACTGGGAAAAGTCAAATTAAGGTCATCTGGTTAATGTGGTTCATCAGTGTTTACATTCTCAATTGAAATCTCTATATAAGATGATTATAGACTGTGTACTCCACCTTTATTGCTTTAGAATTCACAGCCCTTAGCTGGAGTTTTCACAACCAGACGTAATTTGCCTATTTAAAAAAAATTATTATTGCATAGGTATATGGTAGGGGGTGGTGGATACATATCACAACATTCACATGGAGGACAGAAGGCGACTTTGTGAGGTTGGCTATCTTTATTTTTATATTGGTTCTGCCCCACTTAACTTCATTTTCCAAGTGCTCCCCTGACTTTTTAATCTATCTTAAGCCTTGGCTACATTATGAGATTTTGTCTCAAAAATCAAAACTAACAAGAATTTTGTCTATACATCAAATTATCACCAAAGAATAATATTGGAAACAGAAAAGAAAAATTACCTTTTATCATACAAGGATCCATAATAAAGACTACCAACAGATTTTTTAGAAGAAAATCTTTGGACACAAAGTCAGTGAGCTGCCACATTGAAAGTGCTGACTGAAAATAAGCTGGAAAACCCTACAAGTGAGAGAGATAGTATAAAACAACATGGAAGCTGGAGAGATGATCCAGTGGACAATAGCAGTGTACTTCTCTCATACAGGATCTGGATTCAGTTCGCAGCACCCACAGGGAATCTTGCTACTTTGTGTCACTCCAGTTTAAAGGGATCTGGTCTCTTCTTCTGACTTCCATAGGCACTAGGTATGTAATTAAATCCAAGAAAAACACATGTAAGGAGAAATTTCTTTTTAAGAAAATCTATTAGAGCAGTAAATGCTCTTATGAGACATCTCTCCAGCACCTGCATTTGACACCTGTCCTTACAGTATCATGTGCTGTATTGGTTGAACTGGACCAATACCAACCAGAAAGAGAGGTTTCTGGAGGTCTGTAGGGACAGGTACATGAGGTAGGCATGCTAACTCTTTAGATACCAGGTATCTATACAGGGATCCGGTGTACTCACTTCTCTCTGTGAGGAGGGATTCCCCTCTGTATGCTGTGAATATCATTGTGATGGAGGAAGGTCATTGGTTAAATAAACTGCCTTGGCCCTGATAGGTAGGAACATGGGTGGAGTAAACAGAACAAAATGCTGGGAGGAAGAGGAAGTGAGGTCAGAAATCATGCAGCTCCTCTCAGAGGCACACGCGATGAAGCTCCGATCCAGGATGGACATAGGCTAGAATCTTCCTGGTAAGTGCACCTTGGGGTGCTTACACACATTATTAGAAATGGGCTAAATTAATATGTGAGAATTAGCCAGTAAGGGCTAGAGCTAGTGGGCCAAGCAGTGTTTAAATGAATACAGTTTGTGTGTTGTTATTTCGGGCATAAGCTAGCCAGGCGGCCGGGGTGCTGGGGACGCAGCCCCGCCGCTCCTTATTTACAACATCATTGGTTAATGAAGGAACTGCTTTGGGCCTATAGCAGAGCTATAGGGGAACAGAGCTAGGCAGGGAAAACTAAGCAGAATTCTGGGAGAAAGGAGGTGGAGTCAGGGAGAAGCCATGTAGCCCTGCTGGAGCTGAATGGAACTTTACCCAGTAAGCTGCTGCCACAGGACAATATATAGATTAATGGAGATGGGTTAAATTAATATGTAAAAGTTAGCCAATAAGAAGCTAGAGCTAATGGGCTAAGCAGTGATTTAAATAATATAGTTTCTGTCTGATTATTTCAGGGCCCTTCTTACTACATCTCTGTGGGTTCAGGGTCATGTCCCAGCTTCATTTATTATCAGAGTTGGAGCAGATCTGTCACCTCTCTTCTAGGATGGTAGTGTAGATTAGGCCCACCTGATGATGGAAAGCAGAGTTGAGATGACCCTTCTGGGGACTGGGAGTGGAGTAAGAAATGCTTCTTGATACTAAGAAAAAGCTCCAGCTAAGTAGTGTAAGTAGGAAGCCCCAGAGGAGCCACAGTGGATGGAGTCTGCAGCAGAGCCCACATGCTTTCCGTGAAGACTTTTCCTGTGGAAGCTTGGACATAAGAGGGACAGTTGAAGCTGCTCTTTTATCATGGCAGATCTCAAGTATATTGGGGAAGTGATTTCATCCAGATGACTGACTGTTTTATTATTGTAAAGCTCTCCCTGGAACTTAGAGAGACTGGAGGTGAGTCAGATAATACAAGTGTAGAGGAAGTAATTCTGTGGGTTCACAGACAGGCGCTGACAAACCAGGGCTTCTAAAGGCTCAGCAGCCAGAGATGTAGGGTAGAGGCTTTGGTTACTCTCTGCTGTAAGTCATTTTCTCTTTCTGAGATGACCCTGACAGAAAGACCATCTGTAGACTGTAGACAGAGACTGCGCTTTAGTTTCCTGGTCACCCAGACCTGGATAATTTCACAGAAACTATATTAAGTAACAACACAGTTTGGCCAATGGCTTAGGCATATTCCTAGCTAGATCTTAGATGAACCCATTTCTATTCATCTATGTATCACCATGAGTCTATGACTTACTTGTAATGTTCTGGCATCTTTCTCCTTCAGTGTCTACATGGTGTCCCTTGACTCTGCCTATTCTCTCTATCTCTGTTCAGTTTCCCGCCTGACTTTACTCTGCTAAGCCATTGGCCGAAACAGCTTTATTCATCAACTAATAAAAGCAACATATGTACAGAAGGACACCCCACATCAGTAGACACACTGAAACTGGACAAGAATTTGTAATGGTTTAAGTAAAATGCTTCAGGTCCCCAAGTGGCAGCAGTGGACAGTGGGTCCTGAGACCACAGCAGGCCACTAAGGCAGCCAGGTCCCAGGGTGAGAGACAGAGGTGGACAGGCGCGCCATGCAGAGTGAAGTTGGATAATTATTTAGTGGGTTATGGAAGGGAAGGGGAAAAGGGGGAAGAGCAGAGAGAGAGAAAGAGAAATGGGGGGAGAAGTGAGACAGAAGCTGCCTCAGAGAGAGAGAGAGAGAAGGAAAGGAAGGGACCCAGGTTGGAAGCTGAAGATCAGCTTGCCTCAGCAGATGGGGGTGGGGGGGATGGGGAGTGGCTTGTCTCTTAAAGGAACAGGACAGACCATTACATACCCATCTCTTTTTTAAATAAAAATGCAGGAGGTTAGGCACAACAGGTTAAAGGAATTGGGGCGGTAGATTCTCAAGAGTGCTTCCTGCTTATTTGTGGGTGTCGTCTTGGGGGGGCTAAGAAAGCTGGGTGCTGGTCACATCCTGGGTAGATAGTCTTTTAATACTTTTTTAAGGTATTGGCAGAACAAAGTTAAGTTTAGGAAAAAACATTAGGATCAGGAAATTGAGAGTGGTGTATCTGACCTGTTTAAGGTGGATACTTCAATTTGGCTCCCTGGAACTCACAAGAATTCTTTGGGTTTGTGAAAACGGAAGAATTTTACATCTAAATGTCAAATTTGAAGTGGAGACACTTGAAATTAGGCCCCTTTGAGTTTGGCAACCTATGCAGTCCTTGGAATTTTTATCTAAGGTCCCGATGTATTGAGAAAGTAAGAGAATACCTTCTCCAAAACAGGGAAGTTGCATGGTAGGGTCTTTGGCACAGGAGTGGCATCAGATCCTGAGAACCCACGTTTTTCTATAGTTGGGGCTGTGGTTATCCATCCCAAGGCCACTGTGGACTTTGTTTATAATGCTCTTGAGTTACCCTGTGTTCCTCTCGTGCAAAATTGTTTGAGTAGCCTCCTTCTGAGTTTGTAAAACTGAACCCATTGGTGTTGAATTTGGCACAAATCTCCAGCCAACCTGGATAGGTCTGTCCTAAGAATGGAAGCCAGGGCTAGGAACTACTGTGCATTGTGCCTTCAGCTCACCGGTCCTGTCATTCAGGCCTCATTCTCCAATCAGAGCCTCTTGCGGACCCACCAGTCAGATAGGTGGGAGGGTACTTCTGGGAGCCAGGCTTCTGGCTCAGGTTGTTTCCTGTGAAAGTCGGAAGTTGCCCTGTGTGTTGTGCCTTGAGCTCCACCGTGGGGAGAAAGCGGGTTAGCTTGGTAACTGCACCATGGTGAGTAAAAGAGCCTGTTCTCCACAGATAGGGAGAAGTGGCTGGCCTTGGTGAGAAAGAGGCTGCTGTCTCTAGACTGTGTGGCGCGGCTGACTGAGCTGCGAGAGGTGGTGTGGTGAGTCCTCCCCTGGTTTGGTGGGAGTCTGGGGGCTAGACAGAGTTCGGCGTGTTCCTGCTGGTTCTGTGTGGTCCTACGTGATCCTTACAACTCCCTGGCCCTGGGAGGCAGCCCCTGAATAACCTCACTCCGCCGGCTGACGTCACTATGAAAGGCGCGCTGTAGTCCTTGTATTGTCAGTGTGGAAGGCAAATTTGCCAAGCTCGGAGAACCCTGGTCTCTAGCATCTTCCAAAAGTTCTGCAGTTTTAACATTTAACATTTAGGTTTCGGATCCGCCTGGAGTTAATTTTGTGGGGCTTGTAAACGATTATCTCCTGTGTAGAGTGTTAGGAAAAGACGAGCAGCTCCGCTGGCGCAAAGAAGTCTAATCAGGTCAAATCAAACCAAATTAAAACGCCCGTGTTTTATTAAATGCACACTCTCGGGTGGCCGAGAGCACGGCAGGAAAGAAAACCGAGGAGCACGTGCAAAATACGGGACCCACGTGTTCTTCCTCTGGGCGCCCACGTAAATACCCGGTGGGAGTGGTCCTGAACCCTCCCTGGAATGCTGGGATTTGGAGTCCAGACCAACGCAATTCCTAGGCCTGGGGGCTGGGATGGATATCAAGGGCGGGGATGACGCTCCCAACTTAACATCACCACGGAGAGGCTAGACTGTGGTGTAGAAGAGTAGAATTAATTGTAATAGAATTGATGGTATAAGGATTTACCCGTTCTTAGGAGAACTTAAGTCACAAAGTAGAATTTAGGTAAGGGCGGGCTCCATCCCAAATACCCCTAAGATAAGTAGTACACTAACCATGCCTGTTAGAGAATGGTATGGGAAGATGGAAAGTTTGTTAAGCAGTATTAACCACCTTTAGAGCTGAATTCCCATAACAAGGGAGACAACCCTGATTTACAGCCAGCAGAAAGGCCCATCCATCCCTTTGTTAAAAGACAGGCCTCTAAATGCTGTCAAGGGGCCATTCCAGGTACAGTCAACATTAAGTCCTGGTGCACCATGAAGGTATATTAATTCTAGAACAGCTGATCTCTAGTCTTTTTGAAAATCATTTAGAGTCAAGGTCTTCCATATTGATTGAGGTGGATTTGAACCCTGTCTGTAGCCCTACAGGGCATTGCCCTTGGCTCTCCTCCCAACTGACTACCCTCAATTCTTAGTTTACAGGTCTGCAGCACCACAGTTCTAAAGTTACCAGTTTGAGTCTCATAGTGGGCTATCCATTGCAGTAACAGGAAAAGGATTTGCCCGTGGAGCGTGGCTTCTCCCTGTAGAATGAAAGATCAGTATACTGTGTACACTGCAGGGGGAAACCGACTAGACAATAGCTCGATCACAGACTGAAGCTGCAGGAGTCTTCATCATAAAGAATGACCTGAAAGGGCAGGGTGAACAACATTCTGTGTAATTTCCCAGCATGCATTAATTTCTTCCATGTGAATGAAGACAGACAGAATCGATGGGTGTACAATTTAGGTAGCTTGAACTATTGAATGTTCAGTTTCTAATTGTGGAGCTCTCTTATGCAGATGTGTGCAATCCTGGTTGACACAGTAAGTTAGCTCAGAGGTTTGAGACACAGGCCATTGGCTGGAAATCTGTGTCAGCTTACAGCACTCAGCAGCTAACATTTTACACGGGACAAAGTCATATAGTCTCTTATTAATGGCATTCATTAATGCTGGGAACAATATGACTTCACTGGAGGATAAGGCCTGAGAATAACATGAATAAGTTTTCCTTTTGGCAAGGCCTAGGAGAATTTAAAACATTTTTGGTAAGGCCAATAGATAGTTTGCTGTATAATTCTGGGCATGACTCCAGGAGCATATTGCTACCTGCTCTCCTTACAAAAATTATTGTTGATTGCCTTTAGTGTCACTTTCTTAGAGCGATAGATGAAATGAGTATTTTATTAGGAAAACTTTCCCCTGATGATTCTTCTCTGGGTGAGCCAGAGGGGATGTTGTTAAAAATATACAGTGGATCTGATTCAGCTCTTAAAGCCTTTGTTGTTTGAAGTGTTACCTTGAATTCAGGATTCTCAAGAACAGGATGCTGCCTTTCCAAAGCACCTTGTGAGTAGTCTGAAAGAGTCGCAGTAGTTCAAGACATGACATATTTGCATGATTGTCCTTGAGAGAATGATTCTAACCACAGGAGTCTAAGAGTAATGCAAAAGAATAGATGATATTAAGAGTTAATAGGAAGAATTTAAGAACAGGGAATGAAGTAGAATCATAGAAACCCACAATGCCCTCATTTCTCTGTGTCAATACTGCAGGAGCCAGTGTTGTAGGAAGCTGAGAGGAAGGGGATATGAGAACGAGGAATACCAGCGGTGCCAACTATTAAGAGCAAACTTTTTAGTTATGTCGCTAACAGGATGATAGGAAGAAGCCTGGTATGTCCCCTATAGGAGACAGCATAGTATACAATATAGACTGAGGTTATTCAACCTTGACTGAGTTGATTTTAGATTTGGTTAGAGCTGAAATTCTCTTTTACTTTGCATCATGATGTAACTGCAAATGTTGCCAACTGGACACACTGTTCTACCACCTGTAGGTGTGCTTAGTTAGTAAATACCTATACTCCTCAAGGTGTTCCACATAATATAAACAGAAGGAACATTGCCAAACTCCTTTTATGAGATTAGTTACCCAGATACTGAAACCATACAAAGACTCAACCAAGAAAGAGATCAATCTCTCTCATGAACATAGATGCAAATGTATTCAATAAAATACTGGCAAACTGAATCCAAGAACACATCATCTGTGGTCTCTATGTCTACATAACACTTGACCAGGACCTTTTCTAGCTTTCATTGTTTCCACCGAGAAGTCAGGTGTAATTCTAATAGGTTTGCCTTTATATGCTACTTGGACATTTTCCTTTTCAGTTCTTAATATTCTTTATTATGTATGTTTATTGTTTTGATTATTATGTGACAAGGGGACATTATTTTGGTCCAGTCTGTTTGGTGTTCTGTAAGCTTCTTTTACCTTCATAGGCATATCCTTCTTTAGGTTGGGAAAGTTTTCTTCTATGATTTTGTTGAGTATATTTTTCTGGGCCTTTAAGTTGGACTTTTTCTCCTTTTATCCCTGTTATTCTTAAGTTTGGTGTTCCAGATTTTCTTTGACCTATGAATCTATTTCCTCTATTGTGTCTTCAGTACCTTAGATTCTTTCTTCCATCTCTTGTATTCTGCTGTTTATGCTTGCATTTGTGGTTCCTGATCATTTACCCATAATTTCCATTTCCAGAATTCCCGCGGTTTGTGTTTTCTTTATTGTTTCTATTTTGGTTTTCAAGTCTTGAATCATTTTTTTCATCTGTTTGATTGCTTTTTCTTGGTTTTCTCTAAGGATTTTGTTGATTTCTTCCAATTTTTTTGTTTGTCTTTCCCCCCATTTCTTTGAGGGAATTTTTCATTTCTTCTTTAAGGGCCTGAAACATTTTCCTAAAGTTATTTTTCGGGCATCTTCTGCTTCTTCTGTGTTGAGGTGTTCAAGTCTTGCTGCTGTTAGAGCCACTGATTTTTTTCATTGTGCTGTGTTCCCCTTTGTGTTGTTCAGTGTGTTGTCTACCCATCTTTCCTCCAATTGGTGTAGTTGGGGTTGTGTCTCTGGTGGTCAGTCCTCCGCGTGCCAGTGAATCCTAGTCTCAGATGGTCTCTCCTTGTGGTGGAGTTAGGGCTATGGTTCCAGTCACAACAGATGTTGCTCAATGGCAGAGCAGAGGTTAGGGGCAGGTAGGTGGGCCTTCCTTGCCTACTGGCTTCAGTGGAAGTTGGGCGTGGGTGGGCAGGCCTTCCTTGTGTGCTGGCCTTCGTGGAGGTTAGGAGCTGGTGGGCCTTCTTTACCTGCTAACTCTAGCAGTGGTTGGGTATGGGCGAGCCGTCCTTGTCTCCTGGCACTGGTGGAGGTTGGGTATGGGCAAGCTGCTGGGCCATCTTTGCTTGCTGGCTCCAGCAGAGGTCAGGAATGGGCGGGCCTCCCTTGCTCGCTGGCTCAGGTGGTGGTTAGTCATGGGCAACCAGGCTTTCCTTGCCTGCTAGATCTGGCTAAGGTTGGACATGGCAGGAGGGCCTTCCTTGTCTGCTGACTCTACCAGAGGTCGGGTGTGGCAGGCTAGTGGGACTTTGCCTGGTGGATCCACCTTACCTGGTGGATCTGGCAGAGGTCCCCAATGTAGTCTTGACCTCCAAAAATAGCAATCCTGCCTCCAGAAATCTCAGAATGAGACTCCAAATCTGTCTTTATAAAGCTCTCATAAGCCCCTTTGTCTGCCTTTCCCCTGGGGTTTCCCTATTATTTTTCAGCACCCACAATGAGTTCAGCCAACCTCTTACCTTTAAAACCTTCTAGTCTCTGCAACTTATGGTGGATATCTGGTGCTGACTGGTTGACAAAAGCCAGGCTGACTACAGACCAATTCTCTGGTGCTTTCAGATCCCAGGGTGTATAGGTCTTATAAACTTCTGTCTGCCTCTCAAGGAATGCTCCTGGTGTTTCTTCAGGCCCTGGCATACCTGAATTTTGGACAGAAACCCCCATTAGAGTCTGGAGGTGGACTTTCAGCCTCTCCCTACATTTTTCTATGTAGAATCCCAACTGAGTCACATTACAGAAAACCCAACATTTATGAGATCTGATTTGGTGGCCAGTCTTCCCTCTGGGCCTGGAACCAATTTCTAAGCTTCTGTTCTAATCCTGTCCCTCTCCTCAGTAGTGAAGAGGACTTGGAGCAGTTGAAAACAATCATCCCAAGTTGGTTGGTGAGTGAAAATTACTGAATACAACAGGTTCAGTGAGCCTTGCTGGCTTCTCAGAAAACTTAAGATTTTATAATTTCCAGTTATAAAGTTGCTGGTGACCAAGGGCTGGTGACTAGATGTTGCCTGTCCCCAGCATCAGGTTGGTCCACAGCATGCAATGGAAGGGCCATGGAATTCTCCCCAGCTGGTCACTCCTCCCTTTGAGAATGGGTGTGTATGTGGGGAGCTCCTTCATCCCACCCCCTCTGCCTTCCTATACCTCTCATCCTGGGGTACCTGGGGGTAAAGTGGTGGGATAGAAAAGCACCCTTTCTCCCTGTTGCCTGGAGAAAGAAAGAAAGGGTACAGGGGCGCGGTAGGCAGTGGTCTGTCCCCCTCTCTCCTTTAAAGAGAATGACCCCATTCCTAACACAAACATTTTGTAGTGAGTCATCAGCTTTTTTTTTTTTTTTTTTTTAAATAAAATGAACGAGAATTAACATAATATGGCCAAATCTCATACCTCCTCTGGCCTTTTACAACTTACTATACATCCTCAGGTTCCTATCTCTGCTCAGACAGCCTTATCTTTTATTTATCTTCTTCTTCTTATTTTAGTCTCTTACCTTTTCTCTTACTTTCTAGACATGAAAACTTTTTATCAAAGTCCTTCTTGTGGTTTCCTTTAGTAGTCTAGAATATTGTATACCTTTAATATTTAAACAAGAATCATACATATACCAAAGCAGAAATAACTCTAAATTTGCATCATCACAGTAAAACTTGTACCATGAGAAACATCTAAGACTAGCAGTAGGGTTTTCTTTTTCACCCTAACCAATGATAATCAGCTTCCCCAGCCACCACAGTGATAAGCCATTCGTTCTCTGTTAGGCACCCAAAGTCCTGCCATGTCCTTATCAAGAATGCTTTCACCCCCTCCAGATAATGAGCCCTAAGTCACTGACTTGGGTTTGAAAGTCCTTGGAGCGGTCCAAAATAAGACTCCAGGGAAGAAGTTGAGTTTGACTGACCTAAGAGAAGTAAATGAGGTAACATTACAAACAACAGGAAAACACAAATATAACACTGACAGAAATATATCAGCACAGCACTTAAGAAAGAAACCAGGAACCAAAGCAGGCTGATGGCATGTCTCCCTGGGGAGTTCCGTTTTGCAACAGGTGTGACCTGTGTTCCCTGTTCAACCAAAGGGACCCTCTGTCCCATCCAGGTGGGCCCAGGACATCTCCCAGCCCACGTGGCCTCTAATGCATCCATCAGTCAAAACCCCAGCCTACAGATTCAGTTAGTTTGAGCCACCCAGATGGGGGGAAAAAACACAAACCACAGAACAAGGAACAGAACAGACCCAGACACAGAGGGCTCACTTCACTTACCAGCCAGCCAGGTTATCAGACGCTCATCATGGTGGGATTCTCTGGGGAACTTTACAGACAATGTACCAATTGTTAGGGTCTGAGAGAAGCCTCCAAGGAAAAACCAACAGCCATGTATGTGATAACAAGAGTGCTTTATTGGTTCCAATGTAGCACTTGGCGGCCACTAAGAAAGGTCATAAGCTTCTTTAAGCAGAGTTTGTGAAATTTCAGGGAGGAGAGACTAATCTGTGACTGATTGATGGAGGAAAGATTAGTCTGGGGTCTGATTGGTTAGAGGGAGGTATACAATATTCTGTCTGTGTATATGCCTGCAGGCCAGAAGAGGGCACCAGACCTCATTACAGATGTTTGTGAGCCACCATGTGGTTGCTGGGAATTGAACTAGGGACCTCTGGAAGAGCAGGCAATGCTCTTAACCTCTGAGCCATCTCTCCAGCCCGAAATTGTTGTTTTCTTATGTTATTCTGAGTGAAAAAAAAAACAGTCCTTATGGGACAATAGATCAGTTATGAAGCATATCCTAGCATATTTCTGTTCTTCAAAATTATACAGATTAATGAGAAGTCATCTTCCTGACTATCCATGGATATATGTGTTCACAAGATTGAGATATAATCATGAGATTACATATACATATCATATGAGATACACATTATAGTGCAGATATTGGGGAGATACCACAGTTGTTTCTGCACATGGGGAATTACAGAGAGAAGCAACAGTTTCCAGAGTCAGTAGTTCCATAAGCCTTGCTTGAACAAGGTTCTCCTCCATCAGAGAATTATTCATCTGGTGGGTTGACATCAGAATTATCAATTGCTATCTGCTGCATTTGCATCCTGGCCCACAATAGCTCTTGACAGTTTCTGCTGACTTCATAAAAATCTCCCATTTCTTTCCATTCCCCCCCTAGAAGTAGTATACACGATATTATTCTTTTTAAGAAGCTTACTTGGTAAGAGGCATAGTTTGTACAGGACCACTTCACCCCAGCCTTTATCTTTTCTACCTTCTCCATTTCCTATCTTTCTCATTTCTGGCACCTCCACCTCAGGACCCTCACTGGAGAATAACCTGTTACTTTTTGTCACTGTTATACTTAAGAAATAATTCTGGGAATATCTTTGCTGTGTAAATCTCCCATGTGCTAAGTTCCTGTCCCTATGTAAATTGTTCAAAGTGTACCTAACCTAAAATAAGAATGACAGGAAGTGTGTAATGCAAAGTCTGTTCTAAGCTGGCTCCTCTTTGAGCATTAGAGTAAGGTGAAGAAGCATACTAGTACTAAAGCAGTTTTCTTTATTAAACTCTTAAGTGTGTAGAGTGAGTTCTTCTTGGGAAGGCATATTGATTCTAGAACATCTGCACTTCCAGCCTTTTAGAAAAATATTTCTGAAACAAGCTCTCCTATGTTGTTGACTCCAGTAGCCTTGATCCCAGTCTGTTGCTCTCCAGGTCATTGACCTGGCTATCCTCTATAGTACACTTCCTAAATTCTTAAATGACTGTACAACCTTGGAATTTTCAAATTTTTAAATTATCAACTACCTATTGCAGTCACAGGAAAAGATTTCCATGAGGAACATGACTTCTGCCTTCACACTAGAATATGGAAAATAGTTCATTGTGTACACTGCAGAGGGGAAACAAGGTCAACAATTAGCTGCTGGAGTCACAATTATGAAAAAGGACTTGATTGTGGCAGGGGGAGTAGTTTTGTAATTTCTAAGCGTGTATTAATTCATGTCCTGTGACTGAAGGCAGACCAAATTGGTAGTTTTTCCACATTGAGAAGGTTAGCTTGAGCCAAATAAAGATCTTCCAATTAGGGAACCTACCTTCCTTCCTTCCTTCTTTCCTTCCTTCCTTCCTTCCTTCCTTCCTTCCTTCCTTCCTTCCTTCCTTCCTTCCTTCCTTCCTTTCTTTCTTTCTTTCTTTCTTTCTTTCTTTCTTTCTTTCTTTCTTTCTTTCTTTCTTTCTAAGTATACAATGTACTGCTGGCAAGGAAGGCACCAGCTCTCATTACAGATGGTTGTGAGCCACCATGTGCTTGCTGGGAATTGAACTCGGAACCTCTGGAACAGCAGCCATTGCTCTTACCCTCTGAGCCATCTCTCCAGCCCTAGGGAAATTTTCTGTGCAAATCTGTTCAGTCCTGCTTGACACAAAGATTGGTAAACAGAACTTTGACTGTTCCTGCAACATCTCTGGCTTTTATTTGGGAAAATGAAGAGTGACCTGTTCAAGGTTGAAATACCAAAGCTGTAAGATACCTGCCATGGAGCGGTAGCTACATATATGGAATAGCAGTACACAGAGAAAGATGTATGAGAAGCCCTTGGAAGCTGAAGCCCCATGCATCTGAGACAGAGCTGTAGGATTTGATGTTCTGTCCTGTTGTGCTTCAGTCTTGCCTTCACTATGTTCCCATTCCTCTCTTTTGGAGTGCAAATGGATATTCTGTGCCATTGTTGTATATTGGAAAGATGTAACTTTGAAAATCATTGAAGTGACTAAATGCAATTTCTTCACGGATGACATGGGTCAGAATCCCTAACACTTTGCAAGAATTTTAGCATAAACAAACAAACAAATAAATGTGGGCTCTGAGATCTATCTTTTTTGTTTCTTTGAATGATTTTTACCCAGGAGTCCAGGTCTTAATATGTACTTCTGAACTGATGCATAGACTAGGTTGGCATACAACTCAGGGGCAGATAAACCTGCCTCTGCCTTCTGAGTCCTGGGGTTAAAAGGCATGAGTCAATATGCCCAGATTGCCCATATTATTTTTCATTTTTTGTAGTTAGTAATTGTTTAAATAATTTCTCTAATATGTACTTTGTACTGTTGATTGTTTACTTGTCTCTTTATGTTTGTTTATAATTATTTCTCTTGCAAGGTGATAGCCCATTCAAACAGTACAGAAATGTCAGAGGTGAATCTCCTATTCAGTTTCCTTCTAAACTAACTTGGTAAACACATTATAATATCCTTGTCATAGAATAAGTATGGGGAGCACCAGAATTACATGACTATGTTGTCAAAAAATTATACATTTACAATGTCAGTATCACAGTTTTTGTTGTTTACATGTGTGGGGTATTTTAGAATACAGTGACCTATGGTGATTTACATATCGACTTCACTTGGAAAGAATGGGCTTTGCTGGATCCTTCTCAGAAAAATCTCTACAAAGATGTGATGCTGGAGACCTACAGGAATCTCGCTACTATAGGTAAGACTGAATTTTCCTTTATGTTTTCAAATAAGGGGACAACTGTTCCTTGGTTATTAATGTTCTTCTGTAATTTGATTGAGGAAGAGGACAAATGAGGTATGTAACAGGAATTCTAATTGTTCTTAATAAAAACCCAGAGACATTGGGGTTAAAGGTGAAGATCAGAGAAGTAGCTAGAGAGTTCCCACCTCTATCAATAGTCAGACCAAATGAACAGTCCTGTCCTCATAATGACTGCAGACTGCATTGAGCTCCTGTCTCCTCCCCCTTTATATTCATCTCTAGTGCTGGGATTAAAGGCATGGGATCCCAAGTGCTGAGATCATCTTTTATGAGCTCTGTTTCCCTTTTTGATTGGATCAGTTTTTGTAGCTCAGGGTGGCCTTGAACTATCAGAGATCCATCTGCCTCTGTCTCCCAAGTGCTGGGATTAAAGGTGTGTACCACCACTGCCTGGCCTCTTTGGCTAACTAATATGGCTGTTGATATTAACGGTGTGTAACACCACTGACTGGCCTCTATGACTGTGTCTAGCTTTGTGCTCTGATCTTCAGGCAAACTTTGTTAGATCATAAACAAAATATTACCACAGAGGTGAATAAATCAGGCATGGATCTAGGGTTCACTGAAAATGGTAACTTAAGTTTTACACAATTTTCAATAATATACCATATACTTTCTTGTACTATATTTTAGGATACAATTGGGAAGACCATAGAATTGAGGAACATTATCAGAATTCTAGAAGACAAAAAAGGTAATTTTTATGTGCAAGATGATACAAATGTGCCTCTGAAGAAATTGTAATGTGTCCTTGAAGTTTTAAAGAAAAGCAAGCATGTAAATAAAATAAGCACAACTTAAAAGTGTATGGATATTTACAAAATTCTCACAAAACCATATACTTCAATTTCAGAAAGATGAATTGAGTTTGCCAGGCATTCCACTCAGGAAGAAGACTAAGAAACAATGCCTTACCAGATATCACTATTTGATCAAAGCCTCATTATAGCTATGGTGTAGAACTGCCAATCCATTTAGTTTTGTACCACTCATGTTACAGAAGGCACACACGTTGAAGAGGTGATATGTATATGTCCAAACCTTCTAATAAGCAAATGGTCCATGGTAAAGCAATGTTACTCATATACTTGTTTTAACTTTACTAAGGTAAATGAGAAGAGCAGTTGAAGTCAAGAGTCAAGGGGTGTTTGTTGTGGAGAAACCTTAAACACTATACCACATTTATGAGAAACAGAAAGTAAAACTATAAATTCAATGTGGAAACTATTTATTTGTTATTCTTCCTTTTCTAGGTATATCATGTCACTCTGGATACAAGACATATGAGCATAGGGACATGGAAATATGTAACATAACCCCTCTCAGAACGATTAGAAGATTTGTAGTAGTCCCCACTTTTGAGTAGATTTGTTGAATTTGATTCAGGTATACAAGTGGTTGGGTTTGCAACTTTACTGTTAATACATCAACAAAAATCACACTGCAAAAAAGCCCTATGAGTGCTAGGAATGTGTAAATAATTCCTTTTGTCCTAGTTCACTTAGCTATCACTCACAGCATAGGAAAAATTTTGAATGCAAGAAGTGTGGTAAAGATCTGAGTTTTTCCAGTTCTTTTCAAATATGTAAAAAAAAAACATTTAGAAAGAAAGATTCTATAAATGTGAGCCATGTAATAAAGGCTTTTACTATTACAGTTATCTTCAAAGATGCAAAACAGCTCTTAATGAAGTAGAAAAACATGAGTGTAAATAAAGTGATAAAACCTTAAGATCTCATTCCTCTTTACAATCAGACTAAATTGATGAAATTAATTTATACAAATATGAAGATTCAACAGTGTAATGAATGTGGTAAAACTTACATGTGCCAATTATTCTTGCAGGTATGAAAGAAGTCATACTGGAGGGAAAACATCTAAATATACTCTATGTGTTAAAGGCTTTGCAAATCATAATCACCTTCAAAGGCTTGAAAGAATTCAGACTGGAAAGAAACCCTATAAATGTAATCAATGTGGTAAAGCATTTGCACATCGTGGTAGTTTCCGTGTCCATAAAAGAACTCATACAGGAGAGAAACCCTATAAATGTAATCAGTGTGGTAAATCCTTTGCATGCCCCAGTAATCAACGATTACATGAAAGAATACATACTGGAGACAAACCCTATAAATGTGATCAATGTGGTAAAACCTTTGCACGTTCTTCTAATCTCCATATACATAAAAGAACGCATACTGCAGAGAAATCCTATGAATGTAATCAATGTGGCAAAGCCTTTGCACGTCAGAGTCATCTTCAATGCCATGAAAGAACACATACTGGAGAGAAACCCTATGAATGTAACCAGTGTGGTAAAGCCTTTGCACGTCACTTTACTCTTCAGATACATAAAGGAACACATACAGGAGAGAAACCCTATGAATGTAATCTGTGTGGTAAGTCCTTTGCTTGTCACCGTACTCTCAAATTACATAAAAGAACACATACTGGAGAGAAACCCTATGAATGTAACCAATGTGGTAAAGTCTTTAGATATCGCTGTAATCTTCAGATGCATAAAAGACTGCATACTGGAGAGAAACCCTATGAATGTAATCAGTGTGGTAAAACCTTTACACATCACAGGCAACTTCAAAGTCATAATAGAACACATACTGGAGAGAAACCCTATGAATGTAATCAATGTGGCAAAACCTTTGCATATCCTAATGCTCTCCAAATACATAAAAGAATACATACTGGAGAGAAACCATATGAATGTAGTCATTGTGGTAACACCTTTGCACATTACAGTACTTTTATAAGACATGAAAGTATACATACTGGAGAGAAGCCCTATGAATGTAATCAATGTGGTAAAGCCTTTGCACGTCAGAGTCATCTTCAAAGCCATAAAAGGACCCATACTGGAGAGAAACCCTATGAATGTAATCAGTGTGGTAAAGCCTTTGCATATCAACATAATTTTCAAACACATAATAGAATACATACTGGTGAGAAACCTTATGAATGTAATCAGTGTGGTAAAGGTTTTGCATGTGTCAGTACACTTCGGAGTCACGAGAAAAAATACTGCAAAGAAACCCTATAAATGTAGTCTGTTTGGTAAAATTTTGCCCTTTATGGGCTGGAGAGATGGCTCAGAGGTTAAGAGCACTGCCTGCTCTTCCATAGGTCCTGAGTTCAATTCCCAGCAACCACATGGTGGCTCACAACCATCTATAATGAGATCTGGTGCCCTCTTCTGGTCTGGTGGCATCTATGCAGATAGAACACTGTATCCATAACAAATAAATAAAAATCTTTTAAAAAAAAAAATTTTGCCCTTTATATAGAAGTAAACTTTTTGTATGCAATTAATCTGTTAAAGCCTTTGCATATTATATCAATATTTGTGTACCTAAAAAAAAACTAATAATGAAAGGGCTTCTTACTATAAAGTATTTGGTAAGATTTTTAGCCAACACACCTACATGCAGTTATATAAGAGTATTCAGGAGAAAAACAATTGACAATGTCATCAATCTGTTCAAGCATTGTGGTGTCTATCTTTATTTTGTTTTTACCTGCAAATCCTTGTTGGGGGGAGACCCTTTGAATTTAAATGATAAGGTAACCCTTCTGTATTTCATATTTCTCTTTAAGTACATGTAATAACCAATTCAGTTGTAAACCTTTATGGATTTGTGATAGTGCCTTTTCTGTTGTGATAAAATATGTCTGCATCAACTTATGAAAGAGTTTAATTTGGTCCTTGGTTCCAGAGAGATACAGGATCAACATGAAAGTGGCAACAAGTGTCAGATATATCAGTTAAATCAGGAGGCTAAGAACTCACATCCTTAATTTGTAGCATGAAGCAGAGTGGGAACTGGAGGTGTGTGACTGTAAATTCTCAAAGCATACCCCCAGTGACAAATTTCCTCCAGCAGGGCAGCATTTCCTAAATCTTCCCAAATGATTCCACCAACTGATAAGTACTAATTTCTCTGACTTCAAGCCTACATACTTGTTTTCTGTTGTATGAACCAATTCATGATGAAGAAAAATTCTTTAAATAACCCTTTAGATGCCTCAACATCTGTGTCACAAGAATAAATGTTTATAAAATAAAAATTTTCATGAGTGAAATTTTGTTTAAAGATTTGTTTTAATTTTAATTATGTGATGTCACTGTGTATTTGTTTGAGTATATGCATTTGTATGCTGGTTCCTGAGAAGGTTAGACCCTCGGATTGTCTTGTAGCAGGAATTACAGGAAGTTGTCAAAAACCAGAACTTAGTCCTGGGAATGAACTTTTCTTAACTGCTCAGCCATGTCTCTAGCTCTGTAATATTTTAAAGCCTATTTGTATAATTTTGAACTAAGGAAATAAGGAAGAGCTCATATATGGGCAAAAACCTGTTCATGTAAATGATTTCGTAAAGATTTTAGACCTCACAGTTGTCTTCTGGCTCAAGACAAAAAGTTTGTTTCATTTCTTATTCATATAACCTTCAGGGATTATGAACCTTACCATGTTCACTGAAGACAGACAGTGGAGATCACTGCATTGTGGTTTCTATTTGTTTTTTTTTTTTAAGATTTATTTATTATGTATACAACATTCTGCCTCGATGTATACCCGCATGCCAGAGGAGGGCACCAGATTTCAGTACAAATGGTTGTGAGCCACCATGTGGTTGCTGGGAATTGAACTCAGGATCTGGAAAAGCAGCCAGTGCTCTTAACCTCTGAGCCATCTCTCCAGCCCCTGTGGTTTCTATTTTGAAACATTTGAGGGAGATTCTAGAGTGTGCTATATGTGTGCCAAGTCCACTTAGTGAAGTTTATTTTGTGGTCCTCATATTTCTTCTGTGGCTTTCATTCATCTTCTATTGTAGTTTTCTTAGCAGTATGTATTTTTCTGCTACAATGTATAGAATGGGATTGCCATCATGTAAGTGGCCCATTGTTTATTTAGAGTTATCATACTTTCCAATAACGGTATCTGTGAAAGGATGATAGGTTGTTGTTTGTGGTTTTGTTTTTCATATTTTCACAAATTCCCTTGAGATTTTGTTGATTTTTTTTCAGCCTGCCTTGGCTATCAGTAATTATTCAGGGATACATTTGAACTCATGACCCACATTTGTCAACCTCCTGAGTACAAGTCCAAGGATAGATGATGTACCTCCAATGTATGCTGTTTTGTCAACATGTTTTAACAATGTTAAAACAATAGCAGAGAATATAAGAAACAGTAAGTATCTCATGTGTATCCAAAGAAGTATTTTCATATATCTGGTAGGGAAGTAATAATGTAGAATAATCAGCAATAAATTGTATATTTCACAATATAGCTTGATGTGCTATGAATATGTATAATTTGGAGTTACATGTGTGTTTATATTCCCATCAGTTGTCCATTTGGCACTTCATCTCGAAGTACTGCATTCTAAGGAAATTATCCAGAGATGCCAGATAAAATGGCAAGATTTAAGCATAAAAATAGCAATATTAAAGAAGCATTTCTGTGTGTGTGTGTGTTTGCATGCACGCTGTGTGTGTGTAATATAATTATGATCTTTTAGGTCATAACAGATACGTGGAGACCATAAGACAACTTTGTGGGGTCTACTCTTTTCTTTCTTCATATAGTGATCAAAATGAGGTTACTAGCCTTGCACACCACATACATTTCCCACTGATCCATCTCGCTGATGCTCAAGTATGATTAGCTGAAAATTTGCATCACAAAGTAGTGTCTTACTTTCAGATTGTAAACGTATTTTCCTGCTCACCACACCTGGATGTTGGATCCCTTTCCTGTTTTCTCATTGTGATCTATGAGTTTCCCTTTTAACAAAGAAAAATAATACCCAGAGCTAGTGGGTATTATTTCGCATCTCCCCCATTTGACGCATTCAGCATCATCTGTCACCCAAAGTGGGGCCAAGTCCACACTTAACAGGACTCCCCTGCACCCCGCCATGCTACCTATTTGCCAGTCTGGGCACATTTCTCTCTCACCTGTGGCCTACCTGCCAATGCTCAGGAACCTGACTTTCCCTGCTGCAGCCCGACATTGAGGGCATTTGTGACTGAGGGGGCGGTTTTTCTGTCTGTGTGTTGCCTTTGTTGGTTAATGAATAAAGAACTAGCTTGGCCTATAGCATCTGAGGAGGAAGGCAGAATCATACAGAAGCCATGGAGCCACCAGAGACAGATGCTGGGAATTTTAACTGGTAAGCCACAGCCACATGGTGATACACAGATTAATAGAGATGCTGGAGACCAAGGCGGAAAAGGTTGAGGAGCTCGTGCCCAGCGCCACCACTACCACCACGGGCAACATGCCCTCTGTCCCGAGTAGGAGGGGCCAGCCTCCCTTTGCCAACTGTCTCATGTAGCTGTTGAACAGCCAGGGACGTCTGCTGAGTACACAGTTTGATTTATATTTACACTAAATAACTGCTTTTAATCTGAGCAACTCCAGCAGCTGATTGCCTATCCTGTTTCCCCCTGCAGTGTACACAAGAAATTAATTGTCCTTTTCTGGTCTGAATACAGAAGCCATACTTCACATGTAAATCCTTTACCTGTTACTGCAATGGACAGTTTACTACATGACCCAAAGGGTAAATTTAAAACTCAGTTGCCACACCAACTCCAGTGTCATCTGTGTGACATGACATATGCCATTATGCCGGACAGGAGTTACATGTCCTATGGGACTAGGCTTCCTGGAGGTCAATGGCAGATGGCCTGGTACTAGCCACCATTGAGGCATAGATAGGTTTCTTGATTAGCTGGCTATATGGGATATGGGTTTTGTACTGTGGCCCTAAAGCCCCACCGAGGAGGAGGTCACCCCAAGAGACATTCTCAGCACGGTTGATGCAATAGCAAGAGGAATTTTTATCCTGCCACGGCAGAGGTTTCTCGAGAGGAGAAGGATGCCCACTTTGTCTATTACAAGCTCTTTTAAAGGAAAAACCACAAAATCAGGGAGGGGGGGTAGTACAGAATCAAAGGGAAAGTCCAAAAATCATTTGTCAACTATTTTGACTAGTTTATTCAATGGTCAGCTAACTCTACTTGATCAATGCTATGGCGATTACAAGGAGGAACACCTGCAGGTCGTCTCACCCCAGTTCCAGAGTCCGGGTCTTTTGAAGAAAGACTACAATGGGGATGGAAAGTACTCAAAGCTCCAGTGCACGCGTGGGTGGTTACCAGGGTCCTGGTTCCCAGGAGGGGGGTTGCAGTAATGCTAAGGTGCCTCCTAATGCTAAGGGCCTGGTTCCCAGGAAGGGGGTTCAGTAATGCTAAGGTGCCTCAAAGTCTTCCCCCCCCCTTTGATTTGGTCGAATCTCAATCTTGAGATTCTCAGGGATTATCCCTAAGGGCATGATATTGCTGGGTCAACACCAAAGCTTGAGTAATGCTAAGCTGCTTGCGGATGAACATCAGGAGTCGATTGAGGATGCAGGGCCCAAAGGTTAGGATGAGTAATAGAATGATCAAGGGACCAGTGATGGTGGAAATGAGTGTCGTGAACCAGGGGGAGCGGTTAAACCAGCCTTCAAACCAATTTTGATGTGCCTCTCTGCCTCTTGTCTAAACTGTCTCTGAGCTTAGCCATCGAATCCTTAATTACCCCAGAGTGATCTACGTAGAAACAACATTGTTCCTTTAGGGCAGCACAGAGTCCTCCTTCTTGAAGAAATAGCAAGTCTAACCCATGCCTATTTTGTAACACTACCTCAGAAAGAGAGATTATTGAATCTACAAGCTTAGTGATAGATTGTTCTAGGGCCCTTAAGTCCTGGTCAATAGAGCAGGATAATAAAAGACCCTTGGAACTAGTCAAACAAGCACACAGTAATCTTTGGTACCATCAAAAACCGCTGTTGCCATGCAAGGCGTCAGGCCTGTACCACAAGCCCACCATGTATCTGAATCAGGGATCAGGTATCCAGTTTTAGAAGTTTTAGGGCTCTTAAGGGTTTCATTACACAAATGTTAGTAAGCAGCCGGTGGATTTCCCAAGCATGTCCCTGCACCAGTAACCTCTGTTTTGTTTTTTTTTTTTTAAATATAAAGCCACTTAGTGGAATAGTTAATGAAGTTTTATTTAAACAGATTATACCACATAAACATTTGCATTAATCTTTCCTGGGCAATGTGGCCTTGAGGAGTATAAGAATGAGTAGGGTGCCAAAGACTGTTCTTAATTACATTGCTAGCCTGGGTGGCCCAAAAGAAAAGTGTGGAGAACAAATGATAGTTCTTTGCTTTGTGCCAAGATATTTCTATAAGTTTCTAGAAAATTCTTGTTGCAGATTGTCGGTGAAATTTTTGCACTCACTAGATATTCTGTGATTATAAATTATGTACTAAGAACAGAAAGGAGTCATATCTAATGTGAGAGAGGGAATATTTTGAGATTTAATTTCTTGAATTACCTGTAACTGAGAAATGGAAATGTATTTTAAATATTTCCCTCAATTTTTTATTCAAGCAAATGCTAGACTAAGGGGAGTTACAAAGCAGGATAGAGAAAATTCACAACCAAGAGCGAGATAAGGTCAACGTGCCAGCTTTCAGAAAGTGACCTAATTGCCAGACAGTCTACAGCAGGTGAACAATTAGCACGTCAGACTGTGTTTCTGAGAAGGGGAAAATCCCAACAAGGGAAATGCTAGTTTTAAACATCTTAGTGTAGAAATTCTACAATTTCGTGAAAGAGGAAAATCTGTTATGGTCCTATAAATTTTAAGTAATAAAGCAATCCAGATTAATTAGTCGTTGCCTCTTTTAAAGCCTACCTGCCCCCAATTTGTTTGCATTAGAACTGGAATGCAGGAAAAATTTTTCTCTCAAAAGTTTTTACATTTATTTACTGCACTGTATGCCATGGCATGCATGCAGAGGGCAGAGGATAATTTGCAGGAATATATGCTTCCCTTCCACCATTTGGGTTCTGGCCATCGTACCTAGGCCATCAGACTTGGCAGCAAGTACCCTTACCTACTTAGTCATCTTGGATGCCCATGGAACAATTTTTACCTCTACCTCCATGAGCTCTCAAGTAGTGGCCAGCGAGGTCTTGATCTGTATCATATTCATTAAATCCCTTATGAAA